AAAGGGGCATTTTTTTTTTTTTTGCGTCAGGCACTTTCTCATCCTATTCATTTAATATTCATAACATCTTTGGGATGTCAAAGTATTGTGGTTCTCATTTGATGATGCTCAGGGAGATTGGACAATCTGCTCGAGGATACCAGCATGCGACGGAGCCACTGGCCATTCTGTTCCGGCAAGGTGTTCTCTGTAAATCAGGAGTTGTCATGTAGCAGGCATGTTCCGTGGAACCTGCTATATACCAAGGCAAGTCCTCTGGAGACACAGCATGTAGTTACAGTAGCACCTTTCCTAAAGGAAATTACAGTTTGGTAAAGGACCCCAAATAGTATATTACAAACCAGATTGGGATAGTATTTTGTCAGAAATATAGAGAGAGGCGCGAGTAAAACCCTAACCGATCAGGTAAAGAAAATAAATAATGGCCACCATTTTTAATTTCTTTCTATATGGGAATCATATGTAAAGGGCTAAGGTTAAAGAGTCTGGTCCAGGTTAGAGGATGGATGAAAATAGGTTTGATTCAAGATTGTTGGGATTTATTCCCAAAGTGGTAAAAAAAAAATAATAATAAAAGAAGTCACGCAGAGGATGTTAGTCACCTAAGGATGTAGGTGAGGGAACAAGGCTCTGTTTCCCCATGACCTTATTCCTCGTGTCTCCCAGAGGTGCCCTGGAAGATCACTAGTTTCAGCAGCCACTGTGTCATGAGATATCACTGAGAACAGCAAAGCCTGAAACAGTGGGCTCAAAGCTTTTTATATCCCCAGCAGGTCAGCAAAGAAACAACTTGTGCATTACGAGTTTTTCCTGCACGAACCAGGCTGCTCGGAATGTTCTTTTATGTGTCCCCTGGTGTATGTGTGCAAGAGTTTTCTGAGGAACATACAAAAGAGTAGCATCATTAGGTCAAAAGGGATGATCTAGGCAAACTCCCCTTTAAATTGCTTTCCAAAGTGTTATACCAATTTACACACCCACCAACAGTGAATGAAGTTTTCATGGCTGCATGTCCATGAAAAAAATCTTTGCTAGCTTGGTGAGTGTGAAATCTCATCGTGGATTTAATTTGCAATTCCCAGTTTACTAATGAGATTGACTGTCTTTTCATAAATGTATTGGCTATAATTGCTCTCTCTTCAGTGAAACGTCTCAGTGAAAAGTTTATCTCTTTTGCTCATTTATTCCCCATGGAGTTGTTAGTTTTTCTTACTGATTGTAGAAATGTTTTATGTATTCTGGAACCTTTGTTGGTTAAATATGTAGCAAATATTTCCTCCCTGTTTATGGCTTCTGTACTGTCTTTAATATGAGTTGTTATTTTTGAAGAAATGTGTAAGAAAAGACTGGTAGACTTCCAGGTCATGCCATTATGTGGCTTGGATGATAAGAGAAGATGGATGGTGGAGTGAGGAAGTGGGGGTGGATAGGCTTTTTATTTCCCAAGAACAAATATTGGGAGCAAATGACTACATAGAAGCTGATTCGGCAGATCCCCTTTTGTCCAAGCATTCCAAAGAAGCTAAATCCCAGACCCTTGTAGGGGAGGCTAGATAATTTAACTGCAAGCATTCCAATCTGTGCCTAGAAGGTCACGTTCATTTAAATTGAGCTTGTGTATCTGTATATGCCATCAGCAGTGAAAGCATTTCCTTTTACTCCGTTTCAGACTGAAAGTTTGATTCTTAATACCATAGTCATTCCTCTCACCTATTATCTCCTGCATTCTTGACTACAAATTGGCAATGGGACTTTGCTTTCTGTTAACATCCTGTAAGAATGGTGGCTCCATAGGTCATGGGCCTGCAGAGTAGCAAGACCTGCTATCTTGCAATGGAGATATCTAGAAAAGTCATTGTGGAAGGGGTTAAGAAGGGAGGAGAGTGTAGTGTCAGGAGAAAGTGAGAGTCGGCAATGGATAGAAATACAGTCAGGCTGTAGCTGGCAATAGGGAAGTCTACTAATAGGCAAAGACTCCCAGCTTCGTGAACTGAAAGTAGGGGCAAGATCTGGAAAATTTAGGGGTTCTAGGGGAGATAGAGATAGTCATGAAGTCTTTCAAATATTAATTGAGCACCTACTGGACTCCATTCTAGAAGCTTGGGATACAGCAGTAACCAAGTCAGTTAAAGTGTCTGCCTTAATGGAGTTGGCAAATTTTCAAGAGAGTCAGATAATACACAAGTAAATAAAAACAGTAGCAATATCAGATAGTAATAAATGCTATAAAGAAATTAAACCAGGGTAATGATATAATAGAAAGTGGCTGGGAGTTCAGGGAAAGATACCTGAGACAGGGTCATCGAAGGCATGCCTCTCTGAGGAGGTGATATGGGAGACCTGAACTGTAAGAAGGAACTAGTCATGGGAAGAACTGTGAAAAAAGAGCCACAGGCAGAGAGACCGCGACGTGCAAAGGCCCTGTGGCAGAAACAAGCCCGAAAAGTGGGAGGAGCCAAAGGAAGCCAGTGTAGCTGGCACAGAGTGAATGAGTGCAGTGTGGAGAGCTGAGGTCAGAGAAGTAGGCAGGTTAGGATCCTCATCATTGAAGGGTCTTGTAGGCCATGATAAGGAGCCTGAATTTTTCTCTAAGTAAAATGGGAAGCCTTTGGAGGATTTTAAATAGAGGAGTGAGATGATCTTATTTACATTTGAAAAAGATCTCTCTGGCTTCAGTGGAGAGCAGGCTCTGGGGGGACCCCCTTAGAAGCAGGAAGACCAGGTGAGAGGACACTGCAGAAGGCCATAAAGACAGTGTATGATTCCATTTATATGCAATGTCCAGAACAAGCAACTCCACAGAAACAGAAAATAGATTAGGGGTTTCCAGAGGCTGGAGAGAGTGACTGCTTCTGTGTATGGGGGTTTCCTTTGGGGATGATGAAAATGTTCTTGAATTATACAGTAGTTGTGGTTGCACAGTCTTGTGAATAGAGTAATAACCACTGAATTCTATACTCTAAAAGGATGAATTTTACAATATGTGAATATCTCAACTTTAAAAAAAAAAGAAAGAAGTCCAGGCCAGATATGACAGTGACACGTTGAATTGGATGGTGGCAATATTTGCATGTTAGCACAAGCAACGTTTGTCTATTTTTGGCATGAAATATCCAAATTTTGCTACATACTCCCTGGATGTTCTTGGTAACTATGAAATCCTCCTTCCAATTTGTGAATGCATTCACCTAATACATGTCTGCATAAATGACTATGCTATAATCACTAGCTTTAATTTTGTTTATTTTGTTTTTTTGAGACAGGGTCTCCCTCTGTTGCCTGGACTAGAATGCAGTGACGTCATCATAGCTTGCTGCAGCCTCCAATTCCTGGGCTCAAGCGATCCTCCTGCCTCCGCCTTCAGAATTGCTGGGACTACAGACACACACCAAAACATGCAGCTAATTTTTAAAAAATTTTTTGGAGAGACAGGGCCTCGCTATTGCCAGGCTTGTCTCAAACTCCTGGGCTCAAGCAATCCTCCTGCATCTGCCTCCCGAGGTGCTAGGCTTATGGCGTGAGCCATGTCGCCTGGACGCTTTAATTTTTTAAGGAAAGAAAAGACTTTATAAAAGCCGAGTGGAGAACATTGGGCTTCATAGTCAGTTTGACATAGTTATAGTTAGCTATAACTATGAACAGCATCGTTATCTAAAAAACGGAGAGTGGATACTATGTGAAATAATGATAACCTGTGATGTGTTAATGCTTACTAGGATGCTCATGCCCTCACTCAGTGAGCTTTCATCAAGCGAGTGTCAACTGTATTTAGACTTTCAGAATGCTGAGAATTTTGTTCTGTGTTCTGTTTTATCTTCTTCTAAGACCACTTGAACCCTTTCATACATGTTGTTGACTGAATGTTTGTGTCCCCCCAAAATTCAGTGTAGAAACCTTAACCCCACAATATGATAGTAGTTGCAGGTGGGGCCTTTGGGCAGTGATTAGGCAGAATAGGATTAGTGTTCTTACAAAAGAGAACTCAGAGAGCTTCCTTGCCTATTCTACACATGAGGACACAACAAAAAGATAGCCATCTATGAATCTTACACCCCCTAGTCTCCAGCACTGTCAGAAATACATTTTTGTTGTTCATAAGCCACCTGGTTATGGCATTTTTTTAATAGCAGCCAAATGGACTAAGAATTTATCTTCCCAATTTCCTGCTATTTACTGCCTATGCTGATGCAGGGTGAACCCATTTAGAAATACCACCCTAATCTCAAATTTGAAATGTAGAGAAAAGATTTTGCTTAAGGATGTGTAATACTAAAAAGTAAAAGTTCTACTGAGGTTATCGAAGTTGAAGGTCAACTACTCCAAAAACCCAAATTAGCCTATGATCCATCTCTAGGCTTCATGATAGAAGCCACTTGTGGAGCTACAGAGCTGTCTCAAGGAGGAGACAGTCATTTGTGACAATCACAGAAAGTGACCAAGTGATTGGGGGCCTATTTAGCTCAGAAGATGGGTAACTATTATTTAGTGACAGGGTAACTTTCAGCTCTCTCCACAAATGCCTTTGGCTTCCAGATGAAATTCCTATTTTATAACTGTTCTCTCTGAACACTAATAGTTCATATACTATGTAGTAACCCCAATAATCCTAATTATTCCCTAATAATCCCTAATTATTTCCCATCCATCTGTTCAAATTATGTAGATATCAACCTCTCTGCTTCCAAGAAAAATCTCTTGACTTGGAAGGACTTTTGGATGAACTACGCTGCACTGAGAAATCACTCCAGATTTTCTTTTCTAAAAGACAACAAAAGTACAAGAAATGGAGGACTATAAACCAAATAGATCAACATTTCTTAAGACTTCCTGTTCCAGGGTAATTAACTTTGCCCTGATAATGACAGAGGAGCATCAAAATTGTAAGAAATACAACATCCTTTACAGGAAAAGGAAGCTTTTCTTATTTTCTCTAATTACTTGATAAAATTAATTTTAAACAGCTTACAGAAATAATAAGCAACATGATTAAAAGTCCTTACCTTTGATGTTGTTTTCGGGTTCATCCAATGCATATAGTGTGGACTGATGGCAAATAAAAGATTTCTGTGAAAGTCCAAGAGCCATTCTTCCTATTGTTTTTTGCAAAAGGAGCTAGGTTTCATCTCTTCAGTCTCTTGAGGTCAGGAGGCAATGTGGGTGGGGATCCTTTTGGAGAACTAAGGGAAGAAAATACTTATCTCAGAGACAGCCTTGCAAGATAAATTTCTCTTGAGAAAAGTAATAAGAGAATTTTTTAAAAAGTAAATTCGATAGCTTTTTGCAATTACATCAGTGCCCACAGGCCAGATTTTCACATGATAGATGTTCTCAGAGTAAAGCCATTATATAAAAACAGCAATTTATTGCTAATTTGAAATCTGACATTAAAAATATTTCCAGTTCATTGACTACACAATCTTTTCTCTGTTCCTTAAATTGCAATTACAATATTAATACATACTAGTGAAAGATTTATTAGGTTTTCTTGACACATTTATGAATTACATCCAGACAAAGCTGGCAGAAAAATAGATACCTCTAGACAGATGAGGTTTTATAAAAATGGAACCTAAATTTAAGATAGCTATAAAAATACAAGAACGGATAAAGTGATTTTTATTTCTACACAATAAATCATATAACCTCTTTATTGGTAGACTGGTTTCCAATCTATTTAAAAATGAATCAAAACATTATTATTATTTCCTAAAGGCAACTGTTATTACAGTTAAAAAAATATATATATTCCTCATATAAACATGTTCAGATCAAATTTTTATTGAATTTGGCCAAAGGTAATCAAGAAAAAATGAAGCAAAAAAATTGTTCTAATTTGACATTTTTTAAAAAAGTGAAAATAATCAAAAGAGACTTGGAATGAATTTCTGAGTATAAAAATAAGTGACATTTTAGTTAATGTTATAAAAAGAGTAATCACTACTCATTTTATCTCTAGTGTCTCTAATAATTTTAGCTCTGATTTTTTTAAGAACCATATAGATATGAAATGCTAAAAGTTATATATATATGTGTGTGTGTATGCCATGTTGCTCTAAATTAAATACTAGTAGATATTATTTTAAGACATTTCTGAGAATTAAATTAGCCAAGATTGAGCAGTTTATTTTCTTTGTTTATCTGTAAAGTACTCGAATCCTTTTTGTCTCAAAAATTAATCACAGGTTCTTTTTTTTTTCCATCATATTATGGAGGTACAAATATTGTTAGGGTTACGAATATTGCCCCTGCCCCTCCCCCTGATGTGTCCAATCCCCGGTGGTGTGCCACACACATTAGGAAGCATACACCCTTTTCCTCCCACTCCTGCCTGCCCACCACCCGATAAAAAGTTTTGTTTTGTTTTTAACATTTTGGTTACATCGTATATCTTTGCCTCTCCCTAAGAAGGGTTAGAGTTATGCCCTTCCCCTCCAAAATACTCGCCACCTCCCTAAGATTGGATCCCCCCACCCAATCCCTGGTGAGCATTGCCACCATTTGAAAACCATAGTTAATCAGTCAGTACCAATTTGATGGCGAGTAGATGTAGAGCCCATTTTCCATGTCTTGTGTCGCCTCACCTTGGATAACGGGTTTAAGCTTAATCCAGGATAGCATAAACGGTGCTAGCTCACCATCATTTCTTAGGATTGAGTAACATTCCATTGTGAGGATATACCACATTTTAATTATCCACTCATGAATTGATGGGCTCTTGGGTGCTTCCATGACCATGCAATAGTGAATTGTGCTGCTATAACATTCGGGTGCAGAGTTCTTTATCATAGAATGTCTTAAGTTCTTTTGGTAGATGCCAACAATGCTATTGCAGGGTCAAATGTTATTTCTATTTCTAGCTGTTCAAGGTATCTCCAAATTCTTTTCCACAAAGGTTGCACTAATTTGCAGTCCCACCAGCAGTGTAGGAGTGTTCCTGTCTCTCTGCATCCTCGCCAGCATTTGTTGTTTTGGGATTTCTTTTTTTTTTTTTTTTTTTTTTTGTAGACAGAGTCTCATTTTGTTGCCCAGGCTATAGTGAGTGCCGTGGCGTCAGCCTAGCTCACAGCAACTCAAACTCCTGGGCTCACATCCTCCTGCCTCAGCCTCCCAAGTAGCTGGGACTACAGGCATGGCCCCCATGCCGGCTATTTTTTCTATATATGATTAGTCCAATTATTCTTTCTATTTATAGTAGAGACGGGTGTCGCTCTTGCTCAGGCTGGTTTCAACTCCTGACTCGAGCAATCCGCCCGCCTCGCCTCCAGATGCTAGGATTACAGGCGTGAGCCACCGTGCCCGGCTGGGATTTCTTGATATAGGCCATTCTTACTGGGGTTAGGTGGTATCTCATTGTGGTTTTGATTTGCACAGGTTCTTTTTTTATGTTTCTTCTCACTAGGGTGAATTCAGATGTAAGCTACTTTCAATCTTCCTGAGTTTCTACCCTAATTTAAAAGTTTTTAAACAGCTTGCAAGGAAAAAGCAGAAATCGACAAAACAATATATTTACTTCTCAGAGAAAGCTGAAAAATAAAGTTAAGGCAATCATTGCCTTGACCAAGTAGGTTTCCAAGCACATCACCTCCGGTATTTATTCTCTAGCATGACATCTATATGTTTAATGTCTATCAGTTCAGCTGCCAACAATTGACTTATGGCAATGGTGATCAATTAAAATTGCCTTGAACTTCTTTGCTCTCATCTTTCTTTCCTCTTATATTTTTATTCCCTCTTAAAACAATCTAAAGGAATTACCTTTAACTCCTGTCCTATTCCACTGCATTGTTATTACTGTCTTGTAACAGAGACCTTCAGGAGTACTGAGTTAACTCTATACTGGGAAAACCTTTCAATGTAGGTGGTATGTTACCTGACTGATGACATCATTCTTCCCTGGTCACCTGATAGTCAATAGCACCCTCCTTCCTCGCAGCATTTCCTACCTCCTTTGTCTACTTTTATTTTTTCTCCCGAGCACTAATAACCTCCCAATATACCATACTATAAATCTGTATCTATATAGTTGTTGGTTTCTTTATTATCTGTCTCCCTTTGCTAGAATGAGAACTCTTAAGTCAGGTTTTTAAATCTCTTTTATCATTTTAAAAATACTTTATGTTTGCTTTCCTATTATTCTGATATCTTGAATTCTTGCTGGTGTTAAGAGAACTTGACACAGTGGGCACTAAAGAACAAATATAAATGAATAAAGGAAGTAGTTTGATCTAGAAAGCTTTTATTTATAACATTATACAACCTTTAAGCATATCTCAACTGCATAAATGGTGATATATACCCTTAAGCTACATGGGAATAATAAGCAACGTTTCACTGTATAAACCATTGCTTAGAATCCTCCTGGCTTCTATTTCCGATTTTGTTCTAGTCAATTTGGGAAATTTGAGAGCCCAGAACTGATAAAGAAAAGAGTCTAAGCATATGGTAGAAAATAAAAATAAATATAGAAGTGGTATTAGGAACTGGGATTTTCTAACTAGGAGAGCAATGATTCGTGGAGGCAGTGTGACCCTATGGTTGGGAGCATCAGCAGCAGAGTTGGACAACCTGCCTTTGAGTCATGGCAACGCCATGGAAGACCTTGGGTGATAATTGACCTCTGAAGGCTTCAGTTTTTGTTATGTATACAATGTGAGTGTATATATATATATTTTTTCTTTTTTCTTTGCCTACACCACATCCCTTCTTTGGAAAACCAGGCCTTCCTCATTTTGTAACAATCTCACACGATTCAGGGATCAGTCTCAGATCTGTGCAGGGGCTACGGCGAAGGTGTTCTCATTCTCCGTGACTATAACATGTAAGGACCGTGTAGGTTACATGGAGAGAAGCTGTTTTAGAGTGACGCCAAGTAGCAATGAGAGGTGAAGAGAGGAAGAGAGAGATTAACATTGTTATACACGCTAACATGCAGCCACGCCTGAAGCCAGGTCCACCCTTTGGAGTTTGAAGTTAGGTAAATCAAAAATTTCCATTTTTCTTTTAAGTTCGGTTTTGGAACTTTGCAACAGTAACAGACACAAAATACATGCCTAATAAATGTTAGTATGTTGGTGACGATGCTAAACAAATGGAGGAGGAAGAGAAGTCTTCAAAGAGAAAAGAGGATTTTGAAAACTTAAAGTTTTATCCCATTTCTGTGTACTTCACAATGAGGAGTGGCAATGTCTAGAATAGGAATAAGAGGCATAAGAAAGAGGAGAATTCATTTTCTTCCATAAAACTTTCAATGACCTAGATCCACCAACTCTTCAAGGAGGCCGTAGAAAGAGATGGAACTAATTAGTATCAATACACTAGCCTTTTACCATCTAGGCTTCTCAATAAACACACAACTCCTGCTCTCGTAAACTCTCTAAAAACTTGTAATTTTGATATAATTATATATGCATAAGAAGTTGCAAAAAAATATATAGTGAGGGCCTATGTATCCTTCGCTTGGTTTTCCCCAATGATAACATCTTGATTAACAATACAATACAATATTAAAATACAAAAATACAATATTAAAACCAGGAAATTGACAGTGGTACAATCCATAAAGCTGATTCATGTAGCAGATTGACATGTAGTTGTCCATGTGTGCCCGTGTGTGTGTGTGTGTGTGTGTGTGTGTGTGTGCGCATGTGCGGTTCTATGCAACTCAATCAAATGCATAGGCTTTTGTAACTACCTAGCACAATCAGGATACAGAACAGTTCCATCACCACAAGGTGATGTTACCCTTATGTTATCCTTTTATAACCATACCCACCCCTCTCCTCATCCCTAACCCCTGGCAAACACTAATTTGTTCTTCATCTCTGTAATTTTTTTATTTTGTCATTTTATGAATGTTACATAAAATGGAATCGTATTATCTCTGGAGATTGACTTTTTTCACTCAGCATAGTTTCCTTCAGATCCATCCAAGAAATGTGCGTCAATAGTTCCTTTTTTTTATTGTATTCCATTTAACTGTTCCTCTACTGAAGGACATTTGGGTTTTTTCCAGTTTTTGACTATTATGAAAAAGCTGCTATGCAAACATCTTTTACAGATCTTTGTGTTGACATAAATTTTCACTTCTCTGGAATAAATGCCCAAAAGTGTAATTGCTGTGTTGTATAGTAAGGGCTTGCTTAGTTTTATAAAATAGTTTATAAATAAACTATTTTCT